TCCCAATTTCCCAATTTCCCAATTTCCCAATTTCTCAATTTCCCAATATCTCAAGTATCTCAGTTTCTCAAATATTTCTATTTCTCAAATTCTCAACATCTCAATTTTCTAATTTGGCAATTTTTAAAATTGTAAGTCCTCAAACCCCTATACCCTCAAATTCCATAATTACCAAATTTCCACCCCTCCAAATTCCCAAATTTCGAAACCCCCAAAATTCCCAGCTCCCAAATTCTCAACCTGCCAAATTTCCAATCTTCCCAACTCCCAAATTCCCGAACTCGCACACGACACAGCGTGACGATACAAGGTACCTCGATCGCGAGGCCAATATTCAATTTACGCCAATACAGATTAGAAGTTGATACACAATATGATCACACATACTATGTATAATAAACTATAGCTAAAATTCGAATGTTCACTGACGTTTTACCCGACTATTTTCATTCCTTGCCTAATGGAATATCGTCCTTATAATCGGGTAAAGAGAAGCACCGAAACTGTCTCCGGTACTCCCGAAGCCTTATTATACGTGCTAGCAACCACTTAGTTTCCAGAACCCTCAGTGCGATCATCGCGATCGAGCCGCGATCCATGATCGCGAGCTCCCATAGAAATTCTCTCGTAGTGCTTTGTTGCTTCAAGGAAACATGGTAAACGTATCGTTGTTCAATTAAATTGTGGATGTGCAAAGAACAGTGAGAAATTTCAATCGTATAGTACAGAATCGTGTGATCTTTCACCGGCAATAAGACGTTAATCCTCGGAAGACGAATATTCTGGGACCAACTTGATAAACGTGGTTCTATACGAGTTCGAAGATTGAGCGATGTGCAAAATTTGAAATATATTTTTGTCTCTAAATAAAATTGCGTAATAAAGGTAATACAAAATGTAAACACGTGTAGTCAAGTATTTAATAGTTATTAACGGTGAAAATGTCCTGCACTGGAAAATGTTATAATTGTTGGAATACAATCGTTTCACTTTTTGATTTTAATGTTTTGCATGGCTTGCATGATTAATTGTAATATTACTGGGGTGTCTGGAACCTTGTATGAATATCATAATTATTATAGTATAGTTATTCAAAATATGATTTTTTGATAGTTCAATTTGAGTATTCTATTTGATGTATCGCACGGGTGTAGGGTGTTCGTCGTACGAGGGTTAAGGGTCAGATGTATCTACGAAGAAATCGAAATCGATCGACATTGTGGATTCGAATGTGAGCTTTCGTTTGGAGACCTTTGCACAACCAGTAATATAGTGCTTATAATTAATCGGAGTACCTTTTTAATTCATTTTGTATTATGAAGAGTTACTGGAATTCTTAAATTTAATTGTGAGCATGCTTTAACGGTGCTGGTATATAGACTTTGTTATATTGCCACATATGAGGTTGTAATAGTAGAAAAGTTTCGTGATGTTTAGTGATTTAATGCAAGGTATTACAACGCGTGGCGATATAACGTGTAGTGATGCACCGATTAGTACTATAATGATATATAGCGTGTATATATATAGCATGATGATATAGCGTGTAGTGATCTAATGTGCGGTGATATAACGTGCAGTGAACTGAAGCATGATATTGCAACGCATGGCGCATTAGTGCGTGGTTATTTAATAAATGGTAATACAATTCAATTGATCTAATGCGTGGCGACATAATGTGTGGCGATATAATGCAAGGTGATACAATTCGTGGTGATATAATGCGTGGCGATATAATACGAGGTGGTACAATTCGCGGTGATATAATGCGTGGTGATATAACGCGTGGTAATTATATAATGCAAGGTGATACAATTCGTGGTGATATAATGCGTGGCGATACAATGCTTGGTGATACAATTCACTGTGATATAGTGCGTGGTAATCTAATGCGTGGTGATATAATGTGTGGTAATATAATGCGTGGTGATACAATGCTTGGCGATACAATTCACTGCGATATAATGCGTGGTGATATAACGCATGGTAATCTAATGCGTGGAGATATAATGTGTGGCGATACAATGCGTGGTAAGACAATTCATTGTGATATAATGCGTGGTGATATAACGTGTGATAACATAATGCGTGGCGGCATAATACGTGGCGATATAATTTACGGTGATTTAATGCAACGTAACGCAACACATGGCAACTTAATGCGTTGTGATACAACGCATGGCTATAGAACATATGGCTATATAACGCATGGAAATTTAATACGATGACTATACAACACGTGGTAATTTACAATTTAGATATACAATGCACAGCTATATAACACGCAGTACACAAAATATATGAGGTATTAAATCTCGTATATAAAGTATAGTATGCATGTCTAAAGTTCACATATAACGTGTGGCAATATAACAAAAGTTTACAGTAAATACTTGAAAACTTACACAATTCTCTACTACTTTACTAACTTTTTAACTTCTGTTGATCAAATTCAATAAAATATATTTGTTTTTTTACAAAGTTATTAAACAGAACAAAAAAAAAAAATTGAAGAAATTAAAAAACTAAAAGAACTAGTAAAAATTTGTCCCTTGATAATCCATGTTTTATCAAATAAATTACGATATTGGTTATCCAAACGAATCAGGCGATAATAAAATTGACAGTAACATTCAAATTTCCAGTACCAACAATTCGATAAGCACTGAAAGTGGTATATATTAAAAATCGAACAAATTCCAGAATTTAATGACGATGGTGAAGGTGGGTTACACTCTGGTGATTTTGACACTGTTGCTGATGCTATGGGCATCTCTGGCGCGAATGCACGAGTTTCCGGTGCAGTATCCACCCTGTTTCTTCAACCCTCTTTGCACCTGTTCGAAAGCCATCCCCAATCTGGGCATAGTCACCTGTTACAATGTACCGATGCCACGCATACCTCAACCTCTCAATTCTTCCAAGGTGTTCATGTTGCAATTGGAGAACAATGGACTGATGTTTTTGCAGCCGCAGTTTCTTGTGAACACAGGTATTTCATCGTTAAATATTTCTTCATTTATTCTCATTTCAATCAATTTAAATTTATTATCATTCAAATCAATTTAAGTTTATTATCTTTCAAATCAATTTAAGTTTATTATAATTTAATCGATAAAGAGAATCAGTATGTGATAATAGTTGTAATAATAACATCATAACTATAGTAGAATACAACAGTTACAATATGATATAATAGTATAACATTATTGTGTGATAATAATTACAACAAATAGTAATGAAAACACAATAATTGTACATCATTATACTTCAACAATTACATGTATTAATACATACATACATTTATTCTAAAGATATATTTAATTTGTTATTACATACATGTAATAGTAATATAAAATTATTATATTTCATACAGTATAATATCAATAATTAAATAATAATATCAAGTCATTGTAAGGTTCACAAAAACACAATTACTTAAATATTTATTTTTTGCACCTAAAATGTTTAGTAAACTTCAGTAAACTTTAAAAATGTATAAAAAAATAAAAAAAATGTTTAAAAAAGAATGTAAGAAACAAAATATTTGAAAGAACCATACATTTCTTATTATAAGTATATGTATTTCTTATGTACTCACAACACTTTTCACATTGATCTTCTCTTTCTTTTATAAATCGCCTTCTAATATAATAATACAATAGTCTTCTAATAAAATTTCATATAAAATATGATTAAAGTAAAGAAATATTAACAGCTTGAAAGATACCTATAGCAATGTCCAAATCAATAACGAAGGGTCTTTCGAGAAACGAACCGATCAGGGAATAAGGAAATGGGGATTAAAGGGCAGTGACCCGCGTCACGCATAATTCCTTGCGTCATCGATTACGTTGCAGAGGAACGATCGTATGGCACTTTTCTATTCACATGCATGCCATTCTTTTATCTTGCAGGTCTGTACAGTCTACGGATCAAGCATAATCCCCTGGCCGACATCCCGGACGAAGCTTTCCTAGGGCTTGAGAGATCGTTATGGGAGCTCGAATTACCCTACAATCAGTTAGAAAGGGTTCCCAGCAGGTCGTTCAGACATTTACAGAAACTGCAACTTCTCGATCTGACAGGTACTTAATGGAGATCTTCGATGATCAGGATCTGTTCATGGTATTTGGGAATTTTGGGATTAGGGAATTTTATGGGGATTTGGAGATTTGAAGTTGGAGGAATTTGGGAATTTTGGAGATTTGGGGTTTTGGGAATTTGGGGTTTTGGGAATTTGGGGTTTTGGGAATTTGGAATTTTGGGAATTTTGATATTTAGGAATTTGGGATTTTGGGAATTTGGGGTTTTGGGAATTTAGGGTTTTGGGAATTTGGGGTACTGGGAATTTGGGGTTGTGGGAATTCTGATATTTAGGAATTTAGGGGTTTGGGAATTCGGAAGGTTGGAATTCGCAAATTTAGGAATTCGGGATATTAGAAATTTGGGGATGTAGGAATTCGGGATATTAGAAATTTGGGGATGTAGGAATTCGGTATATTAGAAATTTGGGGATGTTGGAATTCAGGAATCAAGGAATTGGAAAATTTAGGAATTTGGGAAAATAGTACTTTAGGGGTCTAGAAATTCGCAAATTTAGGAATTCGGGATATTAGAAATTTGGGGATCTAGGAATTCACAAATTTGGGAATTCGGGATATTAGAAATTCGCAAATTTAGGAACTCAGAACATTAAAAATTTTAAAAATTTTTAATTTGGAGATCTAGAAATTTGCTAACTTAAAAATTAAAAAAAATATTAATTTGGAAATGTAGAAATTCGCTAACTTAATAACTCAGAAAACTAACGATACAACTCCCATCGAATAAAAAAAAAAATAGAAAATCCAATCGGACGAATATACATAATAAAGAATGTCTACTAAACAGCAATATAACAAGACTCCACCATGCAGAAGAATTGATATCCATCATTTCCACGCTAGGTAACAAAATATCGAAGATCGCGCCAGAAAATTGGCGCGGATTGGAGAACTCCCTTCAAAAATTGCGCTTGGGTCGAAACGCGATCGACAAACTTCCGGCAGACGCGTTCGCCGGTCTCACCTACTTAGATATGCTTGACCTACGCGAGAACAATCTGAAGGAAATCGATCCTTCGGTGTTCAGAGACGGCATGGCGCATCTGGTGCACCTGTATCTGAATGGGAATCAACTGACTCACATACCGTACGCGCAATTGTCCTCTTTGAAACGTATGAAGGTCCTCGATTTGAGCTATAATAGGATATCGAAGATGTTGAATCAACAACAGGAGCCGGAAATCAGGGGATTACAAATGTCACTGGATATATTGAGACTGGATTACAATCAGATCGAGTCATTGATGCCTGGTGACTTTCAGCATTTTTATAAGGTCAATAGGACTTATCTTGATGGGAACCCACTGACTATGATCGAGGTAGGTTTTCAGATCATTTTGAGAGGCATAGGAATCTTATAAGATTACATTATTTCCTTATTTATTTAGATATTAACTTTTATTTTTCTTTATACTTATTTTGCTTTTCTGTTTATTTTTTTTAGATATTCATTTTTTATTTGTTTTTAATTATAGTTAGGCTCTGTATTTTATTTATTTAGATATTTATTTTTATTTTTCTTTATGCTTATTTTGTTTTTCTGTTTATTTTTTTAGATATCCACTTTTTAATTTTTTTTTTAATTATAGTTAGGCTCTGTATTTTATTTATTTAGATATTTATTTTTCATTTGTTTTTAACATAGTTTTTAATTATAGTTGGGCTCTGCATTTTATTTACTTAGATATTTATCTTTATTTCTTATTTTATTTATATACTTATTTTACTTTATTATTTTGACTTACAAAAAAAGTTCTGAAACCTTCAACAATCTTCTTGGTCTTTCCTGATCCAGAACATTTATCTAGAAAGCAACTCTCGATAAAACAACAATAAAATTTCGTGCTTTCGTAAATATTGTACATACGTGATCATGAATGTATAATGGAGTGACGCACAAGGGTTGAACTAGATTTTCACCCCTTTCCGCCTATACTTTTCTTGCACATCGAAAGAAAGTAAACGTTGATTTACCAGTATTCGAATTCGTGAAACTCAACTTCTCAGTGTCTGTTCGATGCCTTGACCTATTTTCAGGAGGGTGCGTTTAGGGATTCAAGGATACGCGAGCTTTATTTCTGTGATTGTCATCTAATGGAAGTGAGTTCCCCTGATTTTGCTGGTCTGGAATCGTCTTTGGAATTGTTGGATCTTTCGGGGAACAATATCACCACCCTTCCAAGCCCCGTCTTTCAAGAATACGATTTTCTGCGTACTCTAATCTTCCGTGAGAACAAGATCCAGACGTTTTCCCCGGGTAAGATAAAACCAATGCGTATTCAATTTCTAGTTTCTCTCTAAAACTTATAAATTTCATAACGAACTATTTACGAAACTTTACAAATCAATAACCTACATATTCATCTTAATATCGAAATCTTTTAATAAACTAACATTAATGAAGTGCATTAACACAGCTATTATTAAATAAATACATACAACTTTATACAGCGAATATTAAATAAGTATGTTACACGTTGAATGATACATAATAAGTATGATACATGCTGAACAAGTATATTTACAGTAAACACTCTGTTAGTACAGTAAACATTGAATCATATTATAGATTGAATGAGAGTAATGCAGGTAGCATTGAATAATTGTGTCATCACACTAAATATTGAATAACTGTGTGAATACAGCAAACGTTGAATAAATATGTTATTACAGAGAGCATTGAATAAATGTGTCAATACACTGAACACTCAACAGCTGTGTTAATATAGCAAACATCGAATAAACATATTCATACACTGAATAAGTATAACACAAGATACATTGAATAGATGTATTAATAGAGAAAGCATTTAATAATTGTAATAATATAGCAGACAGTCAATAAATTAATAAAGATAACATTGAATAAGTGTGTTAATACACTGAACATTCAACAGCTGTGTTAATACAGCAATCATCCAATGAACGTATTAACACATGTGGCGCTGAATATGTGTTCTAATAATGTACTATCAATTGCTGTGTTAGAGCAATAATCAAGTTCACATGTGGCACTGAATATATGTTCTAATAGTGTACTATCAATAGCTGTGTTAGAGCAACAATCAAGTCCACATGTGGCACTGAATATATGTTTTAATAATGTACTATCAATAGCTGTGTTAGAGCAACAATCAAGTCCACATGTGGCACTGAATATATGTTCTAATAATGTACTATCACTAGCTGTGTTAGTGCAACAATCAAGTTGTATTAACATCCACTAAGTTAATGTCTAACCAAGATGTATTAACATCGACCAAGTTAATACCTAACCAAGTTGCATTAACATTGACCAAGCTAATACCTAACCAAGTTGCATTAACATTGACCAAGTTAATACCTAACCAAGTTGTTTTAACATCGACCAAATTAATACCTAACCAAGTTGCATTAACATCGACCATGTTAATACCTTACCAAGTTGTATTAACATCTAGCTAATTATTCACATAATAAACATTGAGTAGTCACGTTAATATAACAAACAATAAGTTAGTATATGTATAATTCACATGGTTTGATAATTAATTATTTCGTTAGCCGAAGTGTTCAACGGGTTCCAATACTCCCTGTACAATCTGGACCTAAGTGGCAAAGAAAACAGCGTGGTGTCTCTTCAGGACCTACGACAAATGCGTAACATGCGATTTCTCTCGATTTCGCGGATGCCACAGTCGACCTTGTCCACGGAGGATTTCATGGAGTATGGGATGGACATCAAGGAGCTTCGTATCGTTCAAAGCAACTTAAACACCATTAAAGGTCATGCTTTTATGCACGTCCGTGGGATCAAGTACATGGATTTCTCGGAGAATTCGATATCGTCCATAGAGGACGAAGCCTTCTCCGAGGTAATTTTCAGATACTAAAACTTTCTTTAGTATTTTATACTGCGGAATAATGTGGGAGTGGAATTTATTCTTTAACACGTTTTGTGCTAAGTTATTTTTGTCTGAAGTGATATTCGGGTTATTTAGTTTTTTAGTGCATTAAATAAATATTTCTACGTGTGTCTATGTATTTGTACCACGGAACAAGTTTCTGTAGATCAAGTTTAACGTGTATCACAAATGGTACACATAGCATGGAACGTGTTAAGGACAAGAACGATAAGGACAACTATGATACAAAGATTGAGGCACAAACGGTGCTTTTCGAATTTTTTCTCAAAAGTCAAATATCCGCCGATTTTAACCGTTTCATACTCATAACATTTCGGCATTACTTCGATAACATTCACACACGCACATACATTCGCTCACTCGGGGTTCACTTAGGAGGTAAACGAAGTAACGATCTAAACCGATCAGCCATTTTGATTGCTCGGTTTTTGCCATGTTTCTTCTGATCGAGTTTGCACGTTTTTGTCACGGTTCTTATGATACGTTCCTTATTTTCCCTGACGGTTAACGTTCATCTCTTTCAATAATTACGAGTGTAAATATAAGTATTAGGTCTTAAACTTCAAAACGTAAATATCAAATCTTAGATTTGCAAATGTAGAAACATTGAATCAATTTTGATAGAATATATCTGATTCTTAACGATGGAACAGATTCTAATATTCACGTTAATGTACAGAAATGATGTGTTAATTGGTACTCATACACGATATTGCACTGCAAATCTAAATGTTTTTAACCCTCGTGCAGTCATATTTCAATTAGAAGTGTTAAAAATAATAAAACACATAAAGTGTTCCATTTAAATAATACTAACACTAATAATTCTATAAATTACATCAAATACAATTTCAAAAATAATAAGGCTATAAAATATAATAATGCAGGAATTAGGGTGTAAAACAAATGGCAATTTAATGATAATTTAAACAATTAGAAAAATAGTTAATGCTCTTATCTTTTCAAATCTCACAATTGTGAGATCACATAACAACCATGTTATTAACAAAGCAGCCCTCTAACATCGCGACACGGTCGATCAGATTTAGTAATTTGTTCTAATATTTAATTAAGCTAGATTCAAATTGTATTCGTAGACCTTGATATCCGTAGATAATTCGAACAAAACAGGCTTCGACAAGGAATCTAACGAGTACTTGACCTATTCAGAATCACGCAAACCTATCAAGTTTCATTTGTATTGAACTAATTGGGAGATAAAAAGTATCAGTGGTCTAATCCAGCATAATCCTTTAGGTCGGCCATTCGCTTTTGACGTTGAGAATAGCGCACGGTCTGTCGTCCTCCATTTCTGAGATGCCGAACGCACCCTTCAAGTTTCTGCCGAATCTACAACATCTCGACTTTAGTAACAACAAAATTAAATCTTTGCCGGATACTTCGTTCCATTTTCTGAAGAGGATCAAACGGATCGAGTTGCAGGACAACGAAATCGATGACATCAGAAAGGGAACGTTTCAGGTAAAGTCATATGTGTAATTCACAATTATTATAACTGTATTAGTAAGTAACATATTGTAAGTAACTCAGTTTGTTGTCAGGGATCAAAGTTAACTCTGTGATAATTAGGTTTGAGTATTAATTCAAGTTTGTGAAATTTGTGCAGTTTTACTATTTTTATTTTACTATTATTTTACTGTCAGTTTACTATTATTTTACTACCTTTTTTACTATTATTATTGGTTTCTTTTGCTGTGAAACTAATTATGTTATATTCGCTATAAAAGTTAACAGTAACTTTTGCGACAGTTAACGTCCTACCCCATAACATCGCGTCCTACTCTTCACGCACAGTTGCGACAAACCAAAGTATTTGCACCTCAATGTTTTTTTTCAATTTTAATTGTAACCTGTACAATCATCGAATGTAAGATGTGTCTGACATTTTAACTATCATCATCTTAACATTACAATAACAATTAGTTAACTGTTTATGAAGTCTAGCAAAATTGTTAACACTAAAACTACCAAACTGGTCAAGTAGCTCCACAAGCTACACAATTTGTTAAAGTACTTTCTTAAAATCTGCATTGATTTTCGTCAAGATAAAAAATTTATGTTTTTTGTCTACTCATTTTTTAACTTCATCTTTCACTTCAAATTAAGTGCATATTATATGCTGGTAGATTTAATCGATGACCAATGTTTCGTTTAATTAGGGCGATATACACTCGTACCTGGAGGATGTGAATTTCTCGTTCAATAAAATCAAAACCATTCAGACCCACACATTCGTGGACCTGCCAAAGTTAACGATGATCAACTTAGAGGACAATGCTATAGATAGAATCGAGAGGCGGGCATTTATGAACATGAAATTACTGAAATACATTAATCTACGTGGTAATAAAATCAAGGATATCACCGACGAGGCTTTCCAGGTAATTAGAACTACCCACTGATGTTATATTTCATTGGTAATTTCGGAGAATCGCCTAGGGAACTGTTTGAATATCGACGCATTAAGTTCACTAATGTTTCAGTGATGCACTCAATAAGATCTTTTGTTAATAATTTAAGTAATGATTTTAGTAAATTGATGCTAATGTAGTATGAGTAATTTAGGTATCAAAATGTGATGAATTTAATAGTGATTGAGCTAATGTTTTAATTGAATGTTTAGTTAAATTTTTCTTGAAGAGTTCAAGTACTTATTACAGCAAACTATGAGGAATAATTTAGAAATTAAAATGTACATTTTATTAAAATTTTAAGTGTGAGCTCTTCAAGACTGAAATGAAGATTTTCTCAATACTTTAACTTCACCTCGAGATTAAAATACAAATATCCTTAAAATTTTTAGTCCACCTATTATTCAAAATTAAAATGTAAATATTCTTAAAATTTTTAGTGCGCCTATTCAAGATTAAAATACAAATATCCTTAAAATTTTTAGTGCATCTATTCAAGAATAAAATGTAAATTTTCTTCAAATTTTGAGTACACCTATTCAAAATTAAAATGCAAACTTCCTTAAAATTTTAAGTGTGACCTATCAAGATTAAAATGAAAAATTTTCTCAAAACTTTAACTCCTCCTCGATATTAAAATACAAATATCCTTAAAATTTTTAGTCCACCTATTATTCAAGATTAAAATGCAAATATCCTCAAAATGTTAAGATGCATCTATTTATAATAATTAACTAGAACAAGCACATAACGTTCAATCTTCCCAAACCAAAATACAACTCGTCCTTTTCTTTTTCTCTCAAAGAATCTTCCAGATTTAGAGTTTCTCGATCTCTCCTACAACGATCTGAACGAATTCGATTTCGCCTCGTTCGATCAAGTGGGAACGCTATCTTCGTTCAAGATAAACGCCAGCCACAACGAGATCCCGAAATTGTGGATCAACAGCACCACATTCACGCCACCGACTACCAGTAAGTTCATCAAGGATTTTTCGTTAAACGAAGCATGCCTAATACTCTTAAACAGATTTTCGTAAGCCTTCTAAACGAAAGTCGATAAAACCAGCTGTTGTTACAAGCCGAAAGCAACGAAGCTTCTAATTTCTCCGCGGCAAATCTTATGCAACCTGTCACGCAGAATCCTCTTAAATCTTCGTTGACGAGACCATTTACTTTATACGTTGCATTAGAAGCGAATGACGTTGAACTAAGAACGTTGCATTTATTAGAGTTACGATTAGAGAATTGAAAGTAGGTCGATGTATTATTGTGGAGTTGTTGAGGAGTTTTGGTATTTTGGTATTTGGGGAATTTGGGGAATTAGGGATTGGGAAATTTAGGAATTTGGAAATTGGAGAATTTTGAAATTTAAAGTTGGAGGGATTTGAGAATTTGGGGAATTGGTAATTTGGGGATTTAGGAATTGGGGAATTAAGAAATTTGGGATTTGTAGAATTTGGGAATTTAAGGTTGGAGAAATTTGAGAATTTAGGAGATTGATAATTTGGGGATTTAGGAAATGGGAAATTTGGAATTTGGGAATTTAAGGTTGGGGGAATTTGAGAATTTGGGCAATTGATAATTTGGGGATTTAGGATATGGGGAATTAAGAAATTTGGAATTTGTATAATTTGGGAATTTAAGGTTGGGGGAATTTGAGAATTTGGGGAATTGGTAGTTTTGGGATTTTAGTAATTGGGGTATTAAGAAACTTGAAATTTGTAGAATTTGGAAATTTAAGGTGGGAGGAATTTGAGAATTTGGGGATTTAGAAAATGGGGAATTGAGAAATTTGGAATTTGTAGAATTTAGGAATTTAAGGTTGGGAGAATTTGAGAATTTGGGGATTTAGCAATCAGGGAAATTAAGAAATTTGGTATTTGTAGAATTTGGAAATTAATAAAATGAGGAATCGATGAATTTAAGGCTTGTCGAATTTGAGAATTTAAAAATTATAAAATTTGAGACCTCACAAATATAGAATTGAGGAATTTGACTATTAAAGTATTTGAGTTTTAGCATTTCATGAATTGAGAAATTTGCTATTTCATAAATTTGAAAATTCGGTAATATAAAAACTTGAGAATCAGTATACTTGAAAATTTCAGAATATCTAATTTAAAAATGACACTTCTAATTTTCAATCGTTAGTTGCACTAATTTTTCGAAAAAACCTCCTCAAAACAGGGGGTTAAATCTCCTACTTGTAAAACTAGAAGATTTAATCCCCTTAAATCTCCTAATTTTTCTCTTCATTACAGTCGGTGGTACAATACAATCGAACATCAAAGTGTTAGACCTCAGCTACAACAACATCAGCGACATAATGAGGTACTACTTCAAGCCAGTCGAGTACTCGTTAACGCATCTGTATTTATCCCACAATCAGCTGAGCAACGTCACGCAAGGAGTATTCGGGAACATGCCACATCTGCAGTGGCTGGATTTAAGCCACAACGATTTGATAGAAGTCGACTTCGACTGCTTCAGGAACACGAAGAACCTTCAAGTACTCTTCTTGTCATGGAACAACATCATGGATATTCCAGCGGAGGCACTGAGACCGTTAAAGAAAATGAGAATCGTCGATTTTTCTCATAATAAACTTAGAACGTTGCCGGATAACATGTTCGCTGATGCGAATATAGAAAGTCTGGATTTGTCTCATAATCAGTTTATGAGATTGCCGATCAAAACTATGTCTATCTCGGCGGCTGCGAGTTTGTCTATTTTAGACATGTCATGGAACTCGCTGTCTGGAGTCCACACTACGGATGCCATTTTCAGGCTGAGAGTTCGTATTTTTATGAATGAATTGATCGTGTAAATTATTTGGTGGATGGTGGTTGTAGAAGTATTGTAGAGATTGTTGATTTTTGGTGATTTTATTTGGGATTTGATGGATAGTGATGTGGGCAGGATTTTTTGAAATTTGCAGATAAGGGGGTTTAGGAATATGGGGAGGTGGAAATTGAGAATTTGTGAATTGAAGATTTGAGGATTGGGGGTTTGGAAATTGGGACATTTGAGATTTGGGGAATTTAGAAATTGGGACGTTTGAGATTTGGGGAATTTAGGAGGTGGAACCTTTGAGAGTTGGGGAATTTAGGAATTGGAATCTTTGAGAATTGGGGAATTTAGGAGTTGGAACCTTTGAGAGTTGGGGAATATAGGAATTGGAATCTTTGAGAATTGAGGAATTTAGGAATTGGAACCTTGGGAAATTAGGAAATGTAGTAATAGAGAATTTAGAAATTAGGACGTTTGAGATTTGGGAAATTTAGGAGTTGGAACCTTTGAAAGTTGGGGAATATAGGAATTGGAATCTTTGAGAATTGGGGAATTTTGAAATTGGAACCATGGGAAATTTGGAAATGTAGTAAGAGAGAATTTAGAAGCTGGAACATTTGAGATTTGGGGAGTTTATGAAGTGGAACCTTTGAGAATTGGAGAATTTAGGAATTGGAATCTTTGAGAATTGGGGAATTTGGGAATTGGAATATTAGAAAATTAGGAAAGGTAGTAATAGAGAATTTAGAAATTGGGATATTTGAGATTTGGAAAATTTAGGAAATGGGGAATTTGGAAATTGAAACCTTTTAGAACTAGGGAATTTGGACATTAGAATCTTTGAGAATTGGGGGAATTCAAAAATAGGAAATTTGGTACTAGAGAACCAGGTATTGGAAAATTTGGAACCAGAAGAATTTGAAAAAATTTAAAAAATTGCAAATTTTGAAATCAAAATTTCATGTTACTTTCAGAGTTTAACCTGGCTGGATCTCTCTTACAACCGACTGGTCAGACTAGACGATGGCGTGTTCTCCGACTTGCAGTACCTAACTCACCTCGATTTGAGTCACAACAAGCAGCTACTATTAGAATCACGTGGAAAAACGTTCCACGGTTTGGAAGATTCGCTTTTGTATCTGGACTTAAGCAACATTTCCCTCTTGAGTGTACGAATTGTCATTACATGTTTACATTTAATAAAATTCTGAATTCATTGAATTTTATGTATACTATTCGTATAAATACGGATTCATTGAATTATAATACTATTCATATAAATATAACATTGAATTATAATACTATTCATATAAATACAAATTCAGTAAGTTATATACTATTCATATAAATACGAATTCATTGAAATATATACTAATCATATAAATTACAAATTCATACATTATTATTTGATGATTTCAGAATTTCTAATTTAAAAATTCTAATCTACTTCTAACTTTCAATCATTTGTTGCTTTCATTCATAAATTGTTTTTGTTATTACATTTTATATTATTTGTAGGTGCCAGAGTTACCATTACGACGATTACAAACGTTGTACTTGGCGCACAACGAGTTGGCATCAATACCAGCCGAAATGGCATCAAATTTGACGTCCCTTCACTATTTGGACCTAAGTGCCAACGACTTGACGGTGGTGCCACTGATCACGCACACCCTGCCGGAACTGAAAACCTTCAATTTAGCAGATAATCCTATCACGGCGGTTAGCAACACCAGCTTCTTAGGAATCGCGGACAGTCTCGAAGAATTAGACATAAGGCGATTGTCTCTGTCAACCTTCGAGGTATAGTCAAGAGCAAATTTGGCTTCCCTACGAAAAACATCACAACAGAGAAGAGAACCATTCTCTCGTTGATTCTTCTTCTTGAATATTTGGAAACACGTTGACAATTTGGGTGATGTAGGAATATGGGAAGTTAATGAGATGGAGATTTAAGAGTATGGGGATCTCAGAATATGGGGATGTGAGAATATGAGGACATGAGAATGTAGGGACACGAGAATGTAGTAATCTAAGACTGTTGGAGTCTCAGAATGTCGGGATCTGAGAATATGGGAACATCAGAATATGTAGATTTAAGAATGTGGGAACATGAGAATGTGGGAGTCTGAGAATGTGGGGACATGTGAATATGTGGATCTAAGAATATGAGGACATGAAAATATGTGAATCTAAGAATATGGGGATCTTAGAATTTGGAGAAGCTAATTTTGGAGTTCAGGGATTTGGGAATCTAGAAATTTGGGAAATCTCCTAATTTGGAAATTTATAGATTTGGGAATCTAGAAATTTAGGAACCTTGAGATTTGGAGAATCTACCAATTTGGCAACCTAGTAATTTTGAGGCTTTTAATTCTTTTTCCCTTTCAAACTACAAATTTGAATAACCACTAAAAGCTGTTAGTCATATGTTTGCACTTAAAAAATTGGAAATTGTAAAGAATACTTTCGTTCGCAGAGTGGAGCGCTTTGTAAAGCAACGAAGCTTCGCAAGCTTTACATAACTGCTTACAACGGCGTTAAGAATTTCAATTTTCCTAATATTCTCGAGTACAATCACGGCTTGCGGCATCTACTCATTGACGTACGTATAAAAATAATAAAAAACATAAAAATCTATAAATAGTTTGACAAATATATTCCTCAATTCCAGGTACAAAACGACACGAACCTGGAGAAAGAAATGAAAGGAAAGTTCCCGAGTAAATTATTTAACATAACGTTAACTGGTCGAGACTTGAAAACCATCAATCCAGATATACTACGAGTATGAATCCACATTTTACTTAACAATCACAAGTTTATTTAACAACCTTCCATCAAAGATTCTTCCACAAGTTTAAAACTTATTTATTCATCCTTCATTTTTGATCGACAAAAATATTCTTTCCTCAAAGCAAACGTGTTACTCGAAGTTAATTAAATCCAGAAATGTTCAAATATTATCTCAAACCTTGAAACGTCGATGTAATCGAGAAACCGTGTTTCTTCAGGGTATAAGAAATCCACACTTGCATTTCGGGATGTATAACACGAGCGTGAGCAGCGTGCCAAAGCAAATGTTTGAAAACGCGGAATGGGTCAGAAACGTGACGATCCATCTTCATCACAACGATGTACGGACTCTTCATAATCCATCCAACGGCTATAAACCAGGTGTTCCGGGAAAGCGGTTTCTAACAAAACTAACCGTTGCTGGTAGCTACTTCACTTGCGACTGCGATATTGGGTGAGTTTTTAACTGACTCCATTTTGTTTTTACTCTTCGAAGCACTGGACTCAAGTTTTCTTGAATATGTATGGTTTTCAGTAAATTTAATTCTTGGAATTAAATTCTGGGGAAAATTTAGTAATATTGAGGAGGAAGATTGATTCGATGAATTTTAGGGATTTTTAGGGATTTGGAAGAGTAGGAGTGGGTTTACAATTTGGGTACTTTGGGATTTGGGGATTTTAGGATTTGGGGAATTTGAGATTTGGAAATTTTAGGATTTGGAGACTTTGAGAGTTGGAGATTTTAGGATTTGAGTACTTTGAGATTTGGAGAATTTAGGATTTGGGGATTTTGAGATTTGGAGATGTTAGGATTTGGAGGCTTTGAGATTTGGAGATTTGCGGATTTGGGAAATTTGAGATTTGGAGATTTTAGAATTTAGGGACTTTGGAATTTATTGATATGCCAGATTAGGAATTTGGTGATCTAGGGATATGGATCTATAGAAGCTTTGGAACCCAGAGATTTAGGAACTTTTGGAATCTGGACATCCACAAATATGGGAACTAAGAATTTGAAGATTAAGAAATTTTGGGACACAGGAATTTGTAGACCTACAATTATGGAACTTTAAAAGTTCGGAAAATAGCAATTTGTGGATCTAGGGAGTTCAAGATCTAGAAATTTGAAAAATTTTGAATTTGAGGATCTAGGAATTTGAAGACTTTGAAATTTGACTTAGAGATTTGATGCTGCAGAGATACAACAATCTAAAAATCATAAATATAATCAGAACTAACTTCAAAAAATATAATCATGATAAAAAGTAAAAAGTGAAGATGCAGAACAACAATGTGCATTACAGGTGGATGGAAAATTGGCAGAGAAAGCACAGACAGTATCAAGAGGATCGTTGCACGACGTACAGCGAATTCAAGAACTTCGAGCGGGACGAAGAGGACGATGAATTCGATTGTTGGGACAATGGCTGGGACGACGATCTTCGTGAATCGTTTTGTTTGAACAAAAACAATGTTTCGGTGTTAGAGGCATTGAAAACCGACCTCGAGTGTGGATGGGGTTCAGCCAGTTACGTCCACGCGCCTTATCAACTCATTCTTCTTCTCCTCTTCACGTTGTTCTAACAACGACGATCTATTAAGTCTTATCTTCTTGGCCTATTCGCATTTCACACTTTTCAGATCGATCACCGTCCCTCCTTTCACCGTCGTTTCGAGTGCAAACACGCGAGATTCGAATATGACAAAGAAACAATTATGTTTCTTTGGGTACAGATGGGAAGGCTTCCTGAGGAATGTAAGGATATAGGTTTTAGTTGGTAAATTTTGGAGGATGGATATCTGGTGATTTTTTTATTTTTGAATTTGTGGAGTTTTGAAGGTGAAAATTTTGAAATTTGAAAATTTGGGGATTTGAGAATTTTGGAATTTGGAGATATGGAAATTTTGGAATTTGGAGATTTGGGGGTATGGAAATTTTGGAATTTGGAGATTTGGGGATATGGAAATTTAGGGATTACGAGGTTTAGATATTTTGAAATTTGGGGATTTAGAAATTAGAAAATTTAGAAAGTTAAAAATTCCGAGATCTGAAGATTTGGAAATTTGGGATTCTGAAGATCTGGAATTGAAGATTTGAGGATTTGAAGTTTTGAAATCTGGGTCTTAGGAAATTTAGAAACTTGGAAACTTGAATTTAAAAAATTTGGGAATTTCAAAAGTCTGAAAATTTATACAATTATGAATTTGTAGAAATTTGGTAAAAAATGTAGAAATTTGGTAATTTAATTCTCTGCGTGAAAATGTGAGAATTCCATAATTTAATGAATTAAAAATTTGAACAAATTAACCCTAAAGATTTATAAACCGTACGATTGAAATATTTAAAAATTTTATTATATGAAAACCTTCAATTTTACGTATATTTATTCCAAAGAAGCCTATGTTGTAGCCAAGAATATTTGAAACAAATATGTAGATGAGATTACGTACAGTTCCAAGCGAAGCCATTTTGTAAATGTCTTGTCACGTTGTTGCGTGTGTATATTTACGGTAATCATAATTTATTTGTACTTATAATCATATTTACTTATATTTATTATTAATTGTAATAGTCGTTTATTTATTTACGAGTTACACAGAAAGATCAAAATATTTCTAGCCTGACTTCTATTAACAAGAAAACAATTTTCCATTTTTTCTGTTTATTTTCTACTTCGTATAAGTAGATTACAATATTAAATTGTTTACAGTTTAATTTCTTTAGGAATCAAAGGCTATTCTTTAAGAACACATATGTGTACATTTAATTTCTTTTAATTAAAAAATCAATTGCCACATATGTATAATTCTTCAATGATAATTCTAATAATTGTACATCAACTTTAATAACAAATACGAAAGTCAAATGCATAGTTAAATCAAGAAGTCAGACTAGAAGATTTTCATTGTCCAAATAAGTGTTAAGCGTATCATGTCAGTGTTTATGTGTATTTATGTTAGTCGATTATATGTGCTTGTGACGTTGTACATAAAACGTAATCGCATCTACAAAACAGTATTTAGCTGTTCAGTTTACATTCGAAAGTCTGAAATACGAACTAGATCACGAAAGTTTCTCGAAACCATGGAAAAATTCAGTACAATAATTGAATTTCTCGACGAGTATGCACTTGGAGCGAGTACATCAAGGAGAAACTCTTGCACATCCCCTCATTTCCTTTGAACAGCACGCTTCGAATCAATGAGACTGTCGGATCAATTGTTCAGATACTCGTACAAAACTGATTAATCACGGATTGAACGTGTACAGGGATGCATTCCATTTGATGCACGTGTCCGTCGAAGTCGTCGGAATGAATAGGAATTGAAGTTTTATTCACACATCGTAGAAATCGACGATTGTTCTTGCGATCGTTAGTTGTATAAAATGATAACACCGTAGCGAAGTCTTATCGTTTTTCTTCTGTCGCGCCATTTTCGAAGCGAGAACTCCACAGCTATCTTTCTACATATATTTCACGTGTTTTCTATGGAGAAATATATACTTTCATGTAAATTTTCACAGTGAAAGTAGCTCGAAATTGACACGTTAATTGCCGTACGGTAGAAATACAGAAATCTAGATGATACTTGTAATTATAGTTACGTCTGGAATAGCACACAATAATTAAGATTTCAACGCTTTACCACCGATATAATTCTGGTAATTCATTTTTCTTTATTTATTCGACTGAATTAAAATGGCAATTAACGTGTTATTAGCCTTAAAATACATTCTCATCTGTAACGAATTATATAGCAAATGGATTTTGTATTATCTATTACAAAACAAGATAAGAAAATATGTGCTTGCAGATATACGCTGTCGACACGTTTTTTTAAATAAAATCGCACCAATTATTACGGTAAACGTTTTGTTATTATTTACGACCTCGTAGATACAGAAATGCATAGTAATTTAATAATTATTTTACACTACAAATGCATAGTAATTTAATAATTATTTTACACTACAAATGCAAATAATTTTCAATAATTGTACAGAAATTTACATGATAGTTATTCGTTTATGTTTCATTTGTAAAGCAGAATCTTTGCAATTATGCCGACCGCCATGTGGAATATGGGCAAGACAATAAAACCGAATATGAATATTAGACAAACGTAAACGCTGAGTAACTCTGTTGTGAATACAAAACATCGAAGTATCGCCTGTCTGAAGTCCTTGCTGTCTTTGATGTTGATCATTTTATCCAGTATGAATCGTAACACGTACAACAACACCTGCAAATACAAAAAGTTTTAATTTCTCATTTTTATACTCATTATGTTAAAAATTAGTAGAAACAAATATATGATAAAACTCATTTTAAAAATTTATTTTGAGAATCCTGTCCAATTACCTCAACAAGAGGCACTGCGTTTAGCATAACATACAACAAAGCCAGAAGAGATCGGCCAGTAGCTTGGCCCATAATTTGAATTAGAGCCGAAAACGAATACTCCGTTCTTGGTACACCGCAAGATTCTTGATAATTAACTAAATATTCCCGAAGGTCAAATAAAATATTCTTCCTCTTGTCTTTGCCACAATCTTCGTATCTTTTGTTACACTCATCGTGCAAGAAACTCGTGGAACATTTATGTTCTTAAATAAAGAAACAGTCATTCAATGATTAAAAATAAGTTTACAACCAAATTTACCCAAAGCAAAATTGCTTCGATCGAGATTCGAAACGCTGTATGGATTTTTCCATTTCCAGTCGGAGATCGCGGGTTTTTGGATCCCGGTTTCTGAGGAATGTTCGATTATCTCATCTTCGCGGTTCCAATCACCCGATTTTTGAGTTAAAATAGTGTCTTGGGTTATTTTGAATTTGTCGTCTGAGTGCTTACAGAAATGACAGGAATGTTTTCCAGTGCATTTTCGAAACCTATATGTATCCCCTTCTGAAAACTGAGAGGACGTCAAGGTTTAAGTACAAAGTTCGAAAGCAAATAAACTATAACTCTCCCAACGAGTGTGTAACATTCGACATGACATAACAAGATCACAATCTTTCTCAAATCTTTTAATTTAAAGAAATAAAAATTGTCTTCGATAAAGATTTACGACTACGCTATATCATGCTAGTAACTATACTTATTTTACGTATTTATTTTAATGAACAAGGTGATGAGGTGTTAAAACGTTTATATCTCGTTTACTTGTTGATTATGAAAAAGACATTTATTTCTCAGATGCCATTTCTCGTTATAATCAGACTTTGGTACAAAATCGAAACTGTTCTGATTTTGTATGTCGTTCATGTTCGAAAAACAGGACACACTGATCGCAGATAAACCACGGTACGTATAATCAGCAACAATTTTTCTTGGACACGCACAGATACAATTTTTTAAAAATCATTTGTCGTATGTAATGACAATCAGTTAATTTTCATTTCGATCCATCCTCAAAACGAGACGTTTACATTCAAGATGAAAACGCGTGAAACCCGCCGCACGTTAACGTCACTTGACAATCAGACATTGGCGTAACTAGACAGGGTTTTAGAGAGGGCCATAAAATATGGACTGACATTCGCTATATAAATTAAAAAATTTTCCCTACGTTTTAAAGCGCAAAGTTAAGAAATTTCTAAATCGCCGAATTTCCAAATTTGCTAAAGCCGTTCGATATGGCATATTTATCAGTAAAGAGACCGACCTAAGATAAAAATTCTAGTTACACCACTGAAATCAGATATCCATACACGGTGAAGACTCGTTTCGAATTGATCGCTTGACAAGATCTCTTACAATTAAAATCGCTAAATCGTTGCGAAAATAAACGGCGAGTCGTTCGATAGAAGTTTTATTGTCATGTGACCAAGAATCGGACAGCCGACAACGTGGAGCAGTTTCTTAAGATACGTCTCCGTTTACAAATATATTTATACAAGTTCGATCTCGTCTATGTATATTTATATTATATATATACATACATGTAATATGTATATATGTATAGATCAACTATTTACTCGTATTTGTCAAGTTAAAAGTGTAATACAAGTAAGAATTGAGAACGAAAATTACATACAAACGGGAAAGAAAAAGATAGAATAAAACATTAGCGTTTATGAGTCTTCTGCGTTTTTCTCTTGCCGTATAAAATGTTTTGTACACTTCTCAGCATCGTAGGCTTCCTTTAAAACTGAGCTCCCATCAATCGGTTCTTAACTTTTAAAACTTGAAAAGTTAAAAAAGCTTGGAAATTTTAGAAATTTATTTGGAAATTTCCAAATTAAAAAATCTACAGATTTGGGAACTTGGACAATTTTCGAATTGACATATTTAATCCCTTAACATTGTATGAGCTGCTACTCTATACGGATTCGTATTGGATGGAAGTCTACGTTGCATTCGAACGTACATGACAACGACAAATGTCCAAAGGGGCTATTTCTCGGCTTGCAGCATGAAATATCAACTATAGGATTCACTAAGCCTACAAATACGTATTTCTACAAATTTCTGACCGATCGTTTTTTTCGGTTCACTTTCACTCATCACAGTCGCGCATCTCACTATTATTTTTCAAGCTGTGTGCACTGCGTAACGCTGTTCTCTTTGGACGAACAAATCAAAGCAGTTCTGAAACAAAATCAATTTTGTTCAAAAAACGGGGAGATAGCGGATTATCCAACGGAACAGCACTGTGAAATTTCATCGAAGTGCGTTAAATATGCCTTATCGCGTTTGAAACAACACACGGGTGTAAGAAAGTTTCAAAGCATGTTATCGCAAAGAAATTTTGTATTATTTTTTTGTACAACAGCGAATCTAGTTGCCGTATGCGTTGGAGGGAAAACACACTGGAGGACAACGATCGATTGCGAGGTATTTTCGGTGTATCAAAGGGTGATTTCGGTTTCTCTTTCTCAATGGATCGTCTTACAAAAGCAGAGGGGGATTTTCAGCGTATGTTTACACGTGCTGCACAATCGAAGGGCTCAGTAAAAAATGGGTACATACCACGTCTACGTTGACTTAGCTCTTTGTACCATCAACAAGCACTAACTTAGCGAAAAAAAAGTTCTCATGCAAATTTATAGTATCGTGGCATGTCCTCCTTTTTTACTGAGCCCCTCGATTTCAAATAAATATACGCCCATGTAGCGAGGCGAGAGGAGGGCATTTCGAACACCGTAAACAGGACTCGATGTACTCTGAAAGACTGGGAAAGATATCGAAGCTTTTATGCACATTTACAACATGCCGAAACCCTTTGAATAATTGATTGCTTTTAACAGACGATCTTGCAATTTCTCTATCGTACTGTAGTCCGGCAACAGTAGAACGTTATAGCATGTGTGTGCTATTGGTAGTCTGAAATGTGAAAAAAATATCCGTAGTTGTAGAAGTTCCAAACGGGAATCAAACTATAATTCGTAAGATCATACCTGTCAGAATCTGGACCGTGTCTCGCAATAACCATCTTAAGCCTAGACAAACCACCCACCGGTACTCTGTCGCTTCCAGTCGTAAATTGAAGAAGTCGTCGCTGACTTTCCGGTGGTAATGAATGAGCAACTCGCCAGAAATTACGGATTGCCTCGCTGTCCACGGTGTAACCACCTTCGTATTCCGTAGCTGCTTCCAATTCCGCAAAATCGAAAACTTTACTGCCGCAAACCAACTGCAATGATAAAATGTTGTTAAAGAATAAGTTATGAACAGTTAGATGACGAACAGTTAGAGCATACTTGTTCGATTTCTTCAGGTCTGAAAAGTAACGCGAGAGGACTTTCATCTGTGACCATCTGGAAACCGCATCTGAATGCTTTGAATTGTCTCTCCACCGATTTGTTAAGTAAGAAGTCTGCATAGAGATCTGCGAATTCTTTTTTGTTTTCCTGCGTCACAAAAATTTCGTCACCATTCTCTTTCAGATCATGGAACGTTATTGAGCCGAAGACGTCCCTGTAAGATAATATAATTTATCAATTATTGCTCATAAATCAGTTTGTCAACCCTCATAATTAGGTTTATAAGTTTACTTGTAAGCCACTCTGAAAGTTTGCATGAACGTTTCTGGCATATCATCTCCGGTATAATCCATCAGTTCTTTCAGAGTTCGATATAATGTTGGACTCCAATCTTCGAGATCAGCAAAGCATCCTTTCCTACCGAGTAATTTTCGATAAACTACCATTGAAAAGTGTACATCTAGTATTACGTTATTATATATTGCTAGGCCAAGTACAACGCCTATTAACGTAAAATGTGCGTCACTTTCGAACGATGTTGGATTAAACCATGTCATCTGTGTATCTTCCTGTGAACAATTTTAACGTAAAGCATATAAATTATTTATTCTTCAATAAATTCAAATTACTGACAATTAATTACCTGAGTTATAAACATGCCATAATCAGGATTAAAAATTTCTTCTACAATTAATTGAAAGAATTCTTTGGAAACTCCACCCTCATCTACTCCTTGTTCGCCTTCAAATTCAACGACTAATTGTTTCTTAAGATCTAGCGGATGTTCCACTGCGATCATTCGTAATTCGACTAACGCGTCATCTATTAAACGGTCTCTTCTCACCTGTTTCAATAGAAGATTGTTAAAATGCGTTGCAATAAAAGATAAAATGTGTACGTACCTTTAATCTTAAATAAGGACTGATAGGAAAGTGTCCAACGATAGTTTGTAAAAAGCTCATTCGGCGTTCGCTGTACATTCTGATACGATTATCATAATACAGGCCCAATGTTTTTGTAGCAGGCGTGAGAATAAAAGCATAATTCATAAAACTAAATTTCATAGGTTCTTCGCTTTTGTAGTATGCAAAATCCTTATCCATCTCTATTGCGTCACTGAGCGGTTCATTGTAAAAATCAGTAAAAGGTATAAACGGTTTTCTTGCATCCAAAACGGTAATTCCTAATTCTTTAGCTAATGGATCCTGTAAGTGTTAATTATGATTTGTAATTTTGAAAAAAAAAAGAGAAAATAATTATCGTGAGCAGTATATAATATCTTGCAACTTATTTTTGTAATGTAACCTGAGGTATCGGAACTGACGACGATCTGCCAGATTTATCGTTACTGCTAGATTCTCCTTCTTCGTCTATATTTAAATCAGGTTCGTCTAATTCACCAGCTAACATACTTGCATAATAAAGAATTTTCATAACTTTTGTTGGCGCAGTAATGGTGTCTGCATCTTGCACACAATAATCCCGCGTGAAAGATCCTCCTATTACCTATAACGATAAAAAGCTTGTATATTATTACTATTATATTTTCATACATCAAACGTATGTACCTTAACCGTTATTAATTCCTGCAGGGCTTGCAAAATACTTGGGAGTCGAGATTTACAATGTTTAGCCCATACACGAGCCAGTTTAGCTTGTGCTACAATAGGAAAACAGCTGAGTGCCTTACAAAGCATGTGAAAGGCAAGTTCCATATATTCGCTATTTCCAAGCATAGGAATTTCAAACACGATTAAAAACACGTTCAATAAGCTGTCCATATTATCCCACGGCATAGTGCGAAATACCCTCAGATCTAACTCAATATTGTCTGCCAAAGTGACTAGTGCATTGACCAAAGCAGATTTAAATGCTTCTCCTAAATATATAAAAGATCCGAAGGATTAAGTAGTTGTTAAATACAAAAGAAGGAAATAATTGTTGTTTGTCATCATAAAGAATTTTCACCTGGTAATGACCAAAGAGCAGCAAAAGCTCGTCGTACAGCTGGTAAATCAACAGTGGTATCGTCATTACTAGGAACTGTTAATGATGGCTCGCTGCTATCTTCCTCTTTATCTTCTCCTTGAATAGATCGGATTGCTTCTTTATCCATATCCCCAGGTGGTCTTAATAAAGTATCTGAAGCTCTATCAAGAAGCGCAGCCAATGGAGAATCATTTTTTACAGTTTTTTGGAAACTGAGACTCAATGCCTTAGCACATGAAAACACTTCTCCCAAGGTGCGAATTAGTAATGAATATGATCCTTCCGATTTACATCTTTCTATTATATCCAATAATTTTGCTTCTGTGAGATATGGATCCTGTTTTCCTATTAGCAATTTTTTGTTAAATTACAAATAAAGTACATATATTCAATCATCCTAATCATTACCCTATAATCACTGCTTCATTCATTTGTGTTATCAATCTAATTTGACTGTACGATTAGTATCATTTACATTTATTGGGAGCATTAACTGCAAATATAAAATTTATGTTGACATTTAGTGCAATACCTTCATGAGAACATGTTGGGTTCACATTTTTAACTGGTAAACTCATAGCTAAAGATGCTGGCCCAGGTTCTATAGTAGTTCGAGCAACTTTACTTGGTTGAGTACCATCACAAAGTCTTGCTTCTTGTGAAAATAATTGAATAGCTTGTGCAGCAGCTTGATTTGGAGTAAGGTTTGTAACCTATGTAATAAGTATTATGATTATGATGAAAATTTCAATTACGTCAAGAATAATATTCTTCAATCAGCTTCTTCAGTATTGTTTAGCTTTTAGATACATACCTTACCACTCGATGCACAATTTTGATTGTCACAGTCGGGATTACCACATCCATCGGTTAACTGATAAAAATACCGTTCAATCAACTTTTTGGCAACTGCACGCTTCATGTCGCTGCAAGGGCTTTCTGCTCCTACCCTAATAATATAATAGTGAAGAATAATATGCTTAAAATATCTAAGTACTCTAACTACTATCAAAAAATGGACGCATAGTTACTTTCGGTTCACAATGCAGAGTATTTATGTACGTACAATGACTGTACATTAAATTTATTATTTTTCATGGCATTAAAGCATATCTTTTGTACGTAAATAGCAATTAAACATTGCAGGAATCGCTATCATTCGTATATTTAAATACTTGAAATGAACTATTGTTAGAAATTGTGAGCACATAACAATATATAACCTATGAAACGCATGCAGATGTTTTTATCATTCGTGGTATAAATAGATTTGCAAATTTGTGATATTTGGCATGCAAACGTTTCTTTCTTAACACCTAAAAAGAAAGTAAACTCCTTGCGTGGATATTTAAATATTAAATCGATGGTTATTAAATTCTATAAATACTGTGGTAAACAAGAGAAACGAAGTTAACTGGATTATACAGATGTGCATTTCAATAACCGCAATTCATTCAATTAGGAACACATGGTCGTGACACGTTAACAATGATTCGCGACGTTGCCAATTCAAGTGGATATGACAGTTGTGAAAAAGGCGAGCTTCTTGAGGTTGGAAAGCAAACGGATTTGCAGCACCAAAACAAAGCGTGTTAAAAATAGCCCAGGCTTGTAGGTTCTTAAAGATATTACGTTCCGTGAAAGACGCTAAGCGATCCTCGGTCTCCGAAAACTAGCGATAAAAGAAAGAAAATGCAGAACTTGCTCGAGAAAGTTCTAGACGAGTAATTGCTATACAGTATCAATACGTACCTGGAAGCGTGATCTTCCCCAGGGTCCCCTTGGCCCTTGGCGCTCATAGACCGTGAATCTTCGAAATTTTGTCTCCTTCGTCGTCGATCTTGATAGAAAATTTCACCACGGTCTTCTCTTCTACTGTCGAAATTTACTCCAACACTTACGCACTACCACTAAATTTAGTTGCGTAGTAGCTCTTTTATCGGAAAATTTCTCCGCGATGCTTTGCTTATACTTCAACACGGTATTACGCACTAAACGAAGTAAAACGGGAAAAGAAAAACCAGAGCGGATAAATAGAAAAATATTAGAAATTTGAGAGAAAGAGAGGAAAAGAGGGAGGGAGAGAGAAAGAAATAGTACGTAATATTTGTGGTTTGAGGTATATTTGTTCGTAACTCGAAATGAGTATTTAGTTGAGGTTAGGTTAACAATATTGCACGAATGCACAATGTAAAATTATTCTTCGATCTCGTTGGTACACGAATTTTTCAAACAAAAACAAAAAGCAAGAAAAAACAAAATAATCCCTTTTCTGATCAATTCTTGGTTACTGTCTACTGTTCTAAACAGATACATACGACCAGCTGCGAGTGTCGCGATCCTCGATTAATCGAACTCGACGTTTTTCGATTTTTCGATAACTCGGCGAGAATAACTTATATAGATCATGCGTCGAACTCGAACGAGATGAGTTCCCCGGGCAGAATGATTTGAAGAAAAACACCGTTCTACTTCATCGTAACGTTCACCTTCTTGTTAGTGTTTGTTCGATGATCGCGTTTACGATACTCGGAACACGTACACTGGAATACACCATATATGCACTCTCTTTAGATATAAACTACTGTAGGAGCCTCGTAGTATTTATTTTTAATTCTAAAAGATGCAGTATGTGCAAAATTGAATTCTTGTTAAACTTCTAAGTTTTCTAACATTTTGAAATTTTCAAATACCCAAATCGAAATTTAAAAAAATTAGTAACGTGATAATTGGAAAAAGGGATGCTCACACGATAATCGAAAGAAAAGGTAACCTTGATGGTGAATAATTAAAGCAGACAAAGTCCAATTATCGAACCATGTGAATCGGGTGCACGCTGAAAATAAAAGTACACTGATCCTATAGTTCTTAAAGAGAATATCGATTTCATGCTAATTTCAGGCCAGGTTATCGCACGTGGTTACTGTCGGCTACGATACCTTGGCCGATTTTGCTACAATGAGCAAACGAGGGCCGAATAGCGAAGTCATTCGATAATTTCGATCGGTTCGAGATGAATGTAAAAGGGAAATTGAGCTTTCGGGGCGAAACGAGGGACTGACGCGAACAGGAAACCATTAGTTCGCTGTAAAAAGGGGTGAAATTATCGGTGGCGAGCGGTGCCATTTGATGCGCGAATAAAACCGCTCCCTCGGTCACACCTTGGCTGCATACAAGAATTGCGCTAAAACCAAACGCGGTCTCGTTATTTTCACGTTAATTGCGATGTTAAATGTGCATGCAATTTTACGCAATTACGAGATGTAACCGGAGTTTTATTTACGTTTTGCAGGGAATATGGTGGTTAACGATGAAGCGTTGCTGGAAGAAGGATTTGAAATTTTTGGGTTTGGTGAATTTGGGGATTTAGGGATTTAGGGATTTGGGAGATTTGGGATTCGGGAGATTTGAGATTCGGGAGATTTGGGATTCGGGAGATTTGGGATTCGGGAGATTTGGGATTCGGGAGATTTGGGATTCGGGAGATTTGGGATTCGGGAGATTTGGGATTCGGGAGATTTGGGATTCGGGAGATTTGGGATTCGGGAGATTTGGGATTCGGGAGATTTGGGATTCGGGAGATTTGGGATTCGGGAGATTTGGGATTCGGGAGATTTGGGATTCGGGAGATTTGGGATTCGGGAGATTTGGGATTCGGGAGATTTGGGATTCGGGAGATTTGGGATTCGGGAGATTTGGGATTCGGGAGATTTGGGATTCGGGAGATTTGGGATTCGGGAGATTTGGGATTCGGGAGATTTGGGATTCGGGAGATTTGGGATTCGGGAGATTTGGGATTCGGGAGATTTGGGATTCGGGAGATTTGGGATTCGGGAGATTTGGGATTCGGGAGATTTAGGATTCGGGAGATTTGGGAATTTGGGGATTTAGGGGTTTGGGGATTTGGGAACTTAGCGGTTTGGAGTTTGGGGATTTGGGGACTTAGGGATTTAGAGATTTGGGGACTTGGTGATTTGGAAATTTGAGGATTTGGTGATTTGGTGATTTGGGAACCTGGTAATTTGAGAATTTTGGGATCTAGGGATTTGGGACTTAGAGATTTGGAAATTTAGGAATTTGACAATTGAGGGGTTTGATAATTCAGGAATTTGGGATTTTAGAGACTTAAAAATTTCAGGATTTGGGAATTTGGGGACATGGGAATTTTGAAAGTTGGGAAACTAGGAATTGGGCACTTTAGGTACTTGAAAATTTAGGGATTTGGAACTTTGAAATTTAGGAATCTCATTAAATACGAATTTGAGAATTAAAAAATTTGAGAACTTGTGGATTTGCTGATTTCGAAGTTTTGGGAATTTGAAAATACGAAAATTTATTAATTTAAGAATTCGAAAATTTGATAACTTGGAAACTCAAATATTTAAAAATATGTAACTTTGGAAATTTGAACCTAACCTAACTTTTGACCAAAGTACACAAAAAAATTTATTAACCACTCTAATAATTTAATTATTTTTCTTTCCAAGAGTTCAATAATATAAAAATAATTCTAATCTTAACTATGTACGTTTCTATCCTTTTACACAGGACCATGATATTTTTTTTCCTATTTTCACTAAAAATTGAGACTCGAAATATCAAAATTCCAGATCGTTGAGAAATCTCTAAAAAGAATGGGTAGGTACTTGAATTATTTATATAATAACCCATCCAGAAGGAGTTGGTTCGTGTTCAAGCGAGCGAACAACCGATAGTTACCAAGTTTTTAAGTTGATAGTGTGATTTAAAGTTTTCGAGATCGCTTTCGCGGCAGATAGCTCAGACCATTTAGCTAGATGATCAAGAGCCGCTGATTAGACAGAAATCGGTGCTCGTGCAAGTGAGGTGTCATCAGTAATTTGGTGCTAAGCCAACTACTCGAGATTTTTCGATGATACACGTCTGCGTCAAACCCTGATTCGAAATATGTCAAAGGTTTCAGCCGCTTTAATTCGCTCTTGAATCTTTTAATAGACGATCACTTTTTCCTTCCCAGAAGGAACAGCGTCCAAAGAACTTAATAATCATTACATAGTCAAACACAACGAGTACTTAATGACAGAGAATAATGAACACTTTGCGTTATAATTTAAACCTACACAAAATTGCAAATATTTTTAAATTTTCTTTATGTCTTTAATAATGTACCTACAAAAAGATTTTTACTTACAAAAACTACATTTATATAAACAAAACTGAAGAAGCAAAAGTTCAAGTTTCTTCCGTTTAATGCTTGATACATCACGAAAGAAGTTTGAATAATTTCACGATCTTGCGTAAATCGTCCAGTTGTTCCTTTCTCCTTGATCTCGCTGTTCTCCATTCTATCCTTCAAAATGGACTTTAAAAATACTCGCGAAATCGCGGCCATTCGAAAGCCGAGTACAATAACAGGCCAGCGGACGCGCTCCGCTGAAATCACGAAAGAGGAAATCATTAAACTCTCACGGATATCTATTCAATTGTCGAAAGACGACGGTGGTACGTGAGAAGAAAAGTGATTCATCGATTTCTCAGCCTGGATCAGCATTCAACCAGTATTTCGTGCGTCTTTGCTATATTATATCGCGCAAAAAAAGTTCCAAACTCCTCGACCGATTGTAAATAAAGTGATTTTATCACAATTTTATTTATTCTTTTATTAACACAATTTCGGAATAATGAGATACAGGAGGATCTAGGGATAATTGGGATTCAAGGATTTAGAGATTTGGTGGATTTTGGAACTTTTGGGAAATTTAGGGCAATTTAGGAGTTTAGGTTAGTTTAGGAAGTAAGTTTAGGGATCTAGGGATTGTTGGGATTTAGGGATTTATGGAACTTAACGTGCTTAGGGTTTAAATACCTAGGGATTTTCGAGAAGTTGAAATTCTTGAAATCTAGGGATTTTTGTGATTTTCAGATGCTCAAATTTTCTCAGATTAAATAATTTAGCAATTCTTGGAATTTGGGGATCTGGAAATTATGAGATTTGGGATCTAGGGATTTTGGGGATCTAAGGATCTAGGAATCTAGGGATTTTGGGGATCTAAGAATCCAGGAATTTAGAGATTTTAGGATTTAGGAATTTAGGAATTTAGGAATTCTGGAATTCAGGAATTTAGGAATTTAGGAATTTAGGAATTTAGGACTTCAGAAATTTAGGAATTTACGAATTTAGGGATTCGGGGATTGAGAAATTCTTGGATTCTTGAATCTAGGGATTTGAGGATCTTGGACGAAGGGATCTAGTGATATAGAGATCTAGGGATGTGGAGATCTAAGGATATAGAGATCTAGGGATGTTGGGATCTTGGGATCTAGGTATACTGGGATTTAGGGGTGTAGAAATCTAGGGATATAGGGATTTAGATGTGTAGGAATCTAGAGGTGTGGGAATCAAGAAATATAGAGCTATAGAAATGTAGGGATGTAAAAATGTATGGAGTTAGAACTCTAAAAATTGTTAATTACTATAGATCTGGGGATTTAACGACCTGCTTTAACGACATAGAAATTTACTAATAAACAAATACAACTTTCAAATAAAAATCTAAAAGTGAATACATATATATAATTGTTCTATTTCTATTTATTACATATTTTATTACCATATCATGATAAAATACATATTCATATATCATATAACAATCTGCATTCGTAAATTACAAAAGACCGTATAATACAACTAGAAGTCTACAGTATTATCTGTCCTCCCAATTCGTTGTACCGCTAATGAGACAATTGTAATCGTCCACAAAAGAATTCGAAGCACAACGAAATAAACAGGTTCCGCGTATTTCGTTGTTTTTCAACAGTGTAAAAGACGGAAGTGAGATGGCGAGGACGATCGAGATCTGGAAGCAGAAAGGTACACGGATTTACAGGGACCAGAGGTCGCTTGATAGGGGATGAAGCTTCCGCTTGGATGCGGCCGAGTTTCGATCAAGGCCAACTTTGCCATTCGTTTGCCACTCACTACCCCTTCTACGCCTATCTACCTCTTTCACCCTTCTTCTCCTTCTCCGAACAACGTACGTACACGTTTTCTTTTTCATCCTATTTTTATTCCCATCTTTTATTCGCCCCCTTTATTTTCGCGACGTTTCACATTTTTTCTCATCACTCGCCGTTGTTTGTCCCTGTACCGTGCTCTTCTTCCTGGGCTTCCCTTTCGAACGTTTTGTATCCCCGGATGCGAGTTCTCCTTTAATTCTTTGTCCAATTTACTCGTCGCCTTTGTGCGTGCACGTTTGTTTGTTTGTTTGCTTGTACGTTCGTCTCGCTGAGAGAATATTCAAATTATCGAGATGGGTTTGGTTGGCTTAATTCTTTTGCCGAGAATATTGTATGCGCAAGAGA